CAACAAAATAGTCATCGAGTAGGACTAACCAAGAAGCTCTGTGCCAATTTTCAAAATTTTAGCACAACTTTAAGTACACCAAAACGCGAAATTATTGAAGTCATGCGTCGAGAGGACTATCGTTGTTTTTAACAAATTATACTTTTGACCTTCCGGCACTGTTGACTCAGCGAAACTGAACTTATATTTTATCTTATTTCGTTATATTAAAACTGCTGTTGCATTAGGTCAAATTCCCAATAAGTCAATTGCTTTAACATAGACCACGTTTTTAGCTCGGACTGTACTATTTGACTTACAGGGATTTTTGATCTACAGACACTGCAAACATTGTAGTTTTTGACCTAGCGGCACAGGTATAAATTATTTGACCTTCCGGGACTGTTGACTTTCTGCAACGCGTCCTTAATTAATAGCCCATACAGCTAATGGCAACTATGGGACCTACAGTTTATAGTGGAATCAGAACCACATTTTTCCTTGTAATTTTTACGAATTGGTCTAATTATCAGGATAGTACTGCGGATAGTCGTAGTACTCACTAGTGCGGACGTTAATCCACACCAGGGAGCATCGCATCCACAGTGCATCCCTATAAATGTTTTTGTTACTGACCTAGTAATTTGGTTTTTTTCCAATCCAGCAAAGGTCTTGTCCGATATCTTTGTCTCCATAGAGAATCTGTTTTACAAAACTTGTGTCCATTTTGTTTCTATATTTTTGTAAAAGTACACTATTTTAAAATAAACAGAAAATAATTTTATAGCCAAAATAAAAAATATGATGTTATCTTGCTAGCTGCTTTATTAAAAATCATTTATAATGCAGGCATTTAAACCTTCATCCTCTTTACAAGCAATCCAGAGGTTGAAGCCACATGAAATTGTGGCATCTGGCAACGCATCTCATCTATATATATAAAATCCAATGTATGTTTGTGTTTGTTTGTTTGTCCTTTATGGACTCCAAAACCGTTTGACAGATTATAATGAATCTTTCAGGCATTATTAAGCATTATTCAAGGATGGTTTGTGTGAAGTTTGGTGCAGATCCGTCAAAAGGGCTCCGCCCCAGTGACGAGATCGGCTTATTTTGCATATTTTCAGTCTGTAATGAGATATGGATTGATATTCTGGGGTGGGTGTGGACGAATTAATGAAATTTTAATCCTACAGAAGGGGGCTATCAGAGCTATGAACGGATCAGAGCCAGACGAGCACTGCAAGCCTCTTTTTAAGGATTTTAAGATTCAAACTGTAATAAATTTGTTTATTTATGATCTTGCCCTTTATATCTTAAAAAAACCCCATTACCTAAAATTCAATAACCATAATCACAACACCAGATTTAAAAATAGTGCCTTGTTAGAATCACATCGTCTGAGTAAGACTAGCAAGAGCCACATAGTGTTATCAACTAAAGTATATAACCTTTTAAAACACAATATTGATGCTTATCCGCAAGAAAAATTTAAGTCCTTGTTTTATAATTGGCTATTAGAAAACCCTTCTTATAGCCTGGACGATTTGTTCAAATTTGGCCAAATAAATCTTTGATTGTATAACCCTGCTGCTAACCTGTTGCTTTATCAGGTCCTTATATTGTTGTTTGTTTAGTCATTTGTACATATTTTAATTATTAAGCCCTCTATTGTTTTTTCAAAATATTGAAAGTGTTTTGATTTTGTTTTGTTTGACAATTGATGTATAATCATGATTTTGACTTTGTCGATGATCTAATGTATCCTTATGACAAATAAAGATTTTTATTATTATTATTATTATTATATTATTATTATTATTATTATTTTAAAACGAATAACAGTCATAATTTCTGATGACTTAAAAATATTCAACTCAAGATTATGGAAATACTCAAGATGCACATAACAGATCGATATAATCAACATTTATTGTAAATGTTGTTTTCTAGAAATAGCCTACTCATAGCCGTAATATGTTTCCAGACACATTATGTGTCCAAAGCAAAAGCCTAACAGCACGACTTCCTTCCCGATACCACCCTGAGCGATAGGGATCATTGAGATTCACTCTAACCTTTCCTATCCCCTTCATGGGCAAGTTTTCATTCCTTTTCTTTCTTAGTTTTTGTTTGTTTATTTTTTATAAATTTTAACGCCTATGTGTATCCCTGGGTTTTCCTATTTCCTTAACTACTTTTCTAAACGTCTCAATTGTTTCCTTGTCACTCATCATGTTTTATTTTCTTCTCTCTAGACCTACCTTATCCAAGACTTCTTCCTGTTCTCTCCTATTTGTCTCCTGAAGTGAACAATTTATAAATATGTGACTTGTGCTTGTGGTTTCTATTTCTCCACATCTACTTACTTCCTCTTACACCATGTGGAATCTTCACAAATTCGCCTTGAAATTGTCCATGTCCTGTGACAAACTGCGTTTCATAATGGCCCGTCTCCCAATCTTGTTCCAGTCTCTTTCTGATGTTAGGTATATATCCGAACGTTTACCGTTAAAACATAAAACACTCTGCACCCAACGAATTTGCCCCTCACCTAATATCTCCTTTATTCTGTTTCCGATGTAGTCCTACCCATCGATGTATAATAACTCCCGCCCTTCTTGTCTTCCAAAATCAACAGCTTATGCAGTGATTATCCAACAGTCCTAAATTGAATGTGAAATCTTCAGGCGGCTGTTGGAGAACACACTTAAACCCAACACGGAAGGGTGCTTGATGTGTTCAGCTATCAATGACAATAGTATTATTTTGTATTTTGTTCGTGTCTACCAGTTAAACGTCGTCGGCCTCCTCCTTTTGGCCGTCCTGGTCAACGTCTTATAGTCTCCTTATGTCAAACGTTTTTTTGGTTATGTTTTGATTTTGTTCAAAATTTTAGAATAACCAGCTGTTTCAAATATTAGTGTCAATTTCAAAGTATTCATCTGTTCAAATGTAAACAAACATTATTTCCCTAAGAATAACATGGGAACTTTGAGGGCCACTGGGGCAGAGCCCTGATGGAATTCCAAATTTTTTTTGTTTGATGGCAAAACTACATGCTAAGACCTTTCTAATGACATCTTGGACATTGTGATAAATAGCACCACCACTCCAAAACAATTATGACAAAAATATGCCTAGCGTATTAAATATATAGATACCACCCCTAAAGAGCCCTTAAGAGCATAAATATGCAGCATGATGAACACAGACCACATTCCATTTTCCTCTCACCCTTCATTCATTATCAGCTTGTAAGAAAAACACCAATGTGTACATCGCTGGCTTTGAGAATTGAGTTAAAAATATAAACGTATCTTTAAATCAAACAAAGAAACAAACTGTAAGACAACCCGAGATTAAGACTAAAGATTACCAGTATTGCTCAATATTTTCAAGCATAATTATTAGGGGTGTGCGAAGCAGCAAAAAACTTTTGATTCGAAGCAACGATTTGATTCAAAAGATTTTCGATTTGAAACGATGCAGCTCGATTCAAAGCAATAGCACATTTTTCTATTCATACTTGTCAATGGAGTGAAATGACAATAGGCTAATTAAAATTTACCACATTTGTGTAACACAAATTTTTGTTTATGTGGTCTAGTCATACATATGACATAGGCCTGAAGCAACGATTTGATTCAAAAGATTTTCGATTTGAAACGATGCAGCTCGATTCAAAGCAATAGCACATTTTTCTATTCATACTTGTCAATGGAGTGAAATGACAATAGGCTATAAAAATTTACCACATTTGTGTAACACAAATTTTTGTTTATGTGGTCTAGTCATACATATGACATAGGCCTATATATGAATTTTGGGTGAAAAACTACTTATTTTCAATTAGAAGAACCTGTATTGCTTGAAATATCAGTGAGCTGATTTACTTGCCTATTTCATAATTTTTACTTGCAGAATCATATTGTTAAGCATGTTACCTATTTTATAATATTGATTTTACAAATAAACATATGTTTTGGTGTAAATAAATAAAAACATTTTAACATTTGCAAGATGAATACTGAAACTTTCAACTTGTTTACATTAGCAGACCTACAAAAATACCAAATTTATCAGTCTAAAACATCAATCTTACTAGTAAAGTATCACCGTATCACGTAACAATTTTTCAGACTTGTGTTATTTTTAGAATGATTTTGGGGACTTGTTTTTGCTATGTTTACAGTAGTAAAACATGTCTCACACTGCAACAAAACATCTTATCATTTGCAATGTCAAAACAAAAAATTTTAAAACAATTAAAGCAATATTTACAACCAAAGAATTAGTTAAATTGAATGCCTACGCAAAGGAAACGCAAAAACAACGCGCTCCTGTATTGCGGGTATTGCATTGACTTTTTGCGGGCATTTTGTATATGGATACTGACTCCCTCGTGAATCGAATCGTTTTTTTATCAGCACTGAATTGAATCGCGATTCGATTCATCACACCCCTACAAATTATTGAGGTGTGTTTATTTGTTAAATGAAAGGCACTATCATGCTTTCTACTACATCGTTATGAGGTTGTTTAGGAACAACATGTACTTATCTGTTTGGACATTTCAGTATAGTATTTGAACATCTTATGGAATATACTTTATCTATTGCTATATGTTAGTGGTCATCGAAACCACCCGTAATTTTAACAAAAGGATTAGAACGAAAGGAAGTCTAAGATTTACACTCAGTAGGAGTTTGGGTTGATAAACAGGCCTTGAAGGGCGTAAGATGTAGGTCTCACGGAAGCCTGAACCTTGAAGAGTAATCATGAGTTCCTTGAAACGATATGCAATGTTCAGTAAGCTCTTTATTGACTGTTAGCCTTAACCTACATTTATTTCACATAATATAAAACAAATCTAAACATTCTAACAGAACCTTTTCTTCTGGTGACTTATAGTCGCCCTGTTCAAGCTGACTACCCTCTGAGATCTAACCTTAGGTCAGCTACGTAGCTGGTCTAGCCTAGCCTCCACCATATAATGATAAGAAAGTAAATTCCCTTACCTTGTAAACTGTCCAGGAGATAGGTGATGAGCTTCTGGGTTCCGTTGGGTTCGCTGTAGAGCTTGAGACACTCCTTGGTCAGAGGGTTGCCGGCCAATCCGAGAATCTGAAGCTGGAAGAGTTTCCCTAGTTCGTATGGCAGTGCCCGAATATGATTATGATTTAATAACAGTTCCCTGAAACAAACATAGGCCTTTCATTAAACTATGGCTTTTAGTGTTATAATTTTTGGTGTTCAGATTGAATTAATACAAAAACTTATGTATTTCTAGTTTCTGAGCTAGGCACCAACTCAATTTGGCAAAAGGGGTTCAAAAAAGTTGATGGAAGAGGAGCCCAGCCACCCAGAAAGATTAATTGTACTATTATATTGGGATGGACGGGAAAAAAGTCATTCAAACCTAATTTAGAAACAAAGGTGTAGGCCAGAAAATTGACGTTCGTCAAATGGCAGAGTAGAATTTCAGCGGTTTAATTTATGGTATTTTTATTATAGAATATTTAACTTAACATGCCATTTTGTTATGATTTAAAGCAATCAATAGTTACAAAGAATGTTCAATATGATTCGAACCTCTCTAAAATCAACTTTTAGTTCTTATAAGATAATCTATTATTTTGATGGAAACAGCCTACTTCTGTCTTGCTTGGCTTAATGTTAAGCTCCCATGCCTGACAATATGTTTCCAAGATCCAAGATCTTTAATCTACTGAGGGGTGTCGTATGCATATACAGTATCAACATACTGAACTGGGTTTGGGGAAGATGCGCTTCACTATAGACATTAAATGACAGGGGGTACTGGCCTCAGAGGTAAAGAAAGCATCCTTATGCTCTTTGAAAAAGCTTCAACTTTGTCTTTATAATCATTAATATTTGACTGCCGTTTATCAAAGAGTAAAGTTTTGCATAAGTACAGTACATGAAAAAGTTTGCACCATTTAGTACTATGTGAAATACCCTTACCACATACATTATTATGGGTAGCTGTGAGATTAAGGAAGCAATACACCTTCTTTACCTTTAGGCCTATGTGAAATCTACCTTAAGGAAATTATATTAGGTCTCTTACTCGGTCAAGGGAATTGTGATCAGGTATATAACAGCTTGTTTAGATGACGATTAAGGATGGGGGACTTTTTGGGTGTAGCATGTTCCATGTCCCATTTACTGTCCAAAAAAGTAAAACATTGGTACTATTAAAGTACATAATTAAAATTACTGGAATCAATTAGGACTGTACGAAGTTCGGATGATAGAAAATTTGGATAATTGGACTCATACTGAAATGTAGAGTAAGTTATTTGACATAAAATAGGCCACGTCGAGTCAAGCTATTAGCATAATACGTCTGTACCAATTTGGCAGTCAAATAATTCACACTTTCGCAGCTATTGGGGAGAACAATAATGATTTTCCATGACCACGAGAGATGAAGATGATGTCTACAAGGAGATATTCATGATTTTGTCACAATCCCAGAAAATGATGTCAATGTTTCCATGACCTTGGGAGACGATGATGATGTCTACATGACCGTGGGAGAGGTTTTGTGCCGCAATAATGTGTTCTGCCTTCATTACTGACGATTCTCATTAGCCTACTGTGATTTTAAATTTTTTAAATTCTTTCTGTAAGTGATTTAAATGATCGGCGATTTGGATAGTTAGAGTTCTACTGTACTATAAAATACAACTGTGAGGGGTAGAAGATATGCAGCTATGAAAAGTTGCTAAATAGTGTGGCATACAACACACTAAAACAATAAGAAAGGAGAGTCAAGGAAAGGTTAGGAAAGCCTGGCACGTAGTTACTGAGTAGTAAGGGCAAGCAAAAGGGTTTGTCTTGACACTACACTATGGTGTACATTCATACTACACAAAAATAGCAGGCAATATCATGATACTCGATCGTCCACCGGGAGGTTCGAATAACACAAAAGTTTGTATGACACAAGGTCATATTGAGACTCTGTCCTAGGACGCTAGGCACGAGCCCGGGATTGTTTTTCACATTACTTCAAGCTAGACCTAGGGGTTGCGGCATTATCACTTAGATAAAATCCATTGGTGATTTGGCAGGATTGAAACTTGAACATCAGGTACCGAAGTCCCGTGTTCTAACCACTAGACCAGCTCGCTCCCCCAGCTCGCACACATTGGAGTCAATATACTTTAGAAACCCAACAAAATCTGCCAACCAATTCAGCCACTTTCCTTATATCGCTCCTGATGCAATAAAATAAGAAGAATTAAGACAAACAGCAATCGGCTTGCCCAAGACCACAGTAGCTTAGTCCCACCAACTAACCTTTCCACAGTAATTACTTTTGCTAACTTAAGTATCCGACCAGCTAACTCAGTTACTATTACCAAATTACTTGGACTAAAATTAAATACAAACCTGAGGTAAATGAGTTCCCCCAGTTCAGCAGGCAAGCTGCGGAGCTTGTTGCACGATAGATCCAGCATCCGCAGCATCGACAGTTGCTGGATCTCCGGAGGAACTCTTGTTAAATGGTTGTCATTCAGGTACAAACACGTCAGGTGGGAAAGACGCCACAAGTTGGGACTTAAATTTCTCACTGATCCTGAAACATTCATATCAAAATTATAACTGCTTCTCTTGCAATATTTCTTGCACAATTTTCTAGTTGTAAAATTCAACTCATCAGTGGTCCAATTTGTCAGTTGTGCTAGTAATCTTCACTATTATACAATTACATAGTTTCATTGTGTGTGTCAATATCAAAAGCATTTTGTTAGGGAACCGTGATTTATACTGTTTTTAGCCACATTTAGTTTTATTTTGACTAATACTTGCCATTAATGATTAATAATTGAAAATGTCACATGGTTAAATAAAATTGAACTTTTGTTTACGTTCATCTAAGAGCATGTTTTATTTTATTATCTAAGAAATTTAACTATTAATTTTGAACACATCGAGATAGGAGAATTTTGCAATTATTGAATTAAACATAAGCAATAAGGGGTTGTCTCGATAAACAAATTTTGGAAATTGTTGAACACCCACTGCTTCCTATAGCAAATGTTAATCGTCTGCCACCGTACCGCGACCAATAATAAGTAGACCGATAAGTAACATGATTAATAGTAGGCCTAAGGCCTACTTAAATTTTTAAATGATTTTCTTGCGTTGTGTCTATATGTGTATTTATTTGAATGTTATTGACGAGTCTACAAATGCATGAATGCTTGAAAGATCATTTGACAATGCCTGAATAGGTGAAACGTGTAGTGAGTTTGACAGTTACTTCGTTGGACTGTCGATGTAAAGGTATGTACCTTGTAATAGTCAAAGTTTACCCTCTTCCCACAGAAATCCTACAACATAACGTGGTTCATACACAGGGTGTCTACTACATTCTGGATAAAAAATTCATGGACAATTCCCGTACATTTAAGGACACTTTGCCGTAACCTTTGTCGGTGTCATTAGGCCTACCGAATAATTTTCCTGATTTGTCAAACTGTATTAATCTTGTTATTCACTGTAGTTGTACCAGAGAGAAAAGTAAATAATAATAGATAAGAGTTAAAAATTACAAAATAGAAATTTATTAAAAGTAAACAAACATAGGCCTACCTATACTTTAGGTAAAGCTTTTATAGTGTAACAGAGAAACGCAATCATTGTCTCCTGCGATAGCGACAAATATCCCCATCAGTCACATAAACTTCATAACATAGCTTATCCGATCCAGGCGGATTAATTTGGCATGATTCGCCCTGGCACAACGTTAAGTTCTCGACTACTTTAGAAAAAAAATCTTTAATGCATATTGTTACTCAATTCTTAGTACAAAATCAAGGTATGGTAAGCGGCTATTAATAAGCAATAAGCACAGAGTAAGATTATTGTATTTTCATTTGCAAAGTTAATATCGGCACATAGCAATCATTAGTTGTTCATCTTAGGCTCAATTACATTTTCTTAATATATTTTACAGCTCTTTCAAGAATCAAAATACCCAGGCCTAGACCTAATTATTTTGGAGGGCCTATATAAACTGAGTAACAAACAATGAGGTTATAATAGCAGCGAAGTCACTATCATCATTGTAGTTCATAAGATTTTGATTGCTTAAAGCATACAACTCAATAAATAAATATATGGGAAAAAACATTGAAACCTGAATAGCCAACAATATAAGACAAAGATACAGAAAATGCAATGACATAATTTGAAACCAAGCAGGCCTACATAGTGATAAAACATTAATGCTAACAACAATGCTTGTGGTTTTGTCAATTGAAAGATAAAATGTCCATAAAAAAAGAGGTTAACTTACAAAATAAGACTGTAGATTATTTACATGTTTAATATGAAACCATAAACAGTTTTATGGCACTAGGCACTGGCCGCGGCAAATTGAATCTTCAAGCCGAAAGTACAAGTAAGAAGTGAAATTTAACAGCCATTATAAAGCTATTATTTTCACGATAAAATAGGTTTGAGATCTAATAATAATTACCCTAGTAATAAAAAAAGAAGTTGTAAAGGAATAAAAGTGATACAACTTTTATGAGCTAGCTGTTGAGTCAACAGTTCTTGGAAGTACTTGACTTGACACTTGATTGTCGTGATAAAATATTAATGGGTTTGAGATTGTTAATGGGATTTTTATTGCATAATTACTCTAGTAATAAATTATGAAAATGTAAACAAACATCTGATAAACCTTTTATGTGCTCCTAACCAACTAGCGATCAATAAAATTATGGCCCATTAAAAATTTAAGGACATAGTCTGGCATTTAAGGACAATTCCCGTACATTTCATGGCCAGTAAAAATTTAAGTACAATTCCCGGTTTCCCCGGATTTCCCGGTTGGTAGACACCCTGATACATGGCAGGAGCGTCTACTTTCCCTCAGATTGTTTTGTTACAATCGAGTTAAATCGAGCAGTATATAGATTGTGAATCGTCTTCTAGTCTTTCTGAGGAGGAAGATAATAATTTAATATTTAAGGAAAAAAAATTATAATGAAAAGGGAGGTTATATTTGTTTTTGTAAATCATTAAATTAGCCAAAAATTAGGAATTTCTAATCAGGTAGTGCAATTTTGGTATGCCAATGGGTCAAAATGATTACCAAAACTTAACTGGCTTCCCAAGATTGGAGTTATTTGTGCAACAAAATAATGTGTTGTCTATGAAATCAATCATTCCTTGAGAGCATCAGAGGTCAATGTATCGGATATCAAGAGTAACGCAGCAAAATCTTTACTTACATCTATACAAGCATAATTCAACAAAATGGCTGAAAACTGTGCCTGAATCTGCTGTAGAGACAATCTTAGAACCAAAATGTAGAGGCACTTTGTTAATATGTATAAATTGTCAGTAAGTAACGAATTTGAATGAAATTAAATTGAATGGGTTTTCAAATGAACATTATTAATACGTCTGTTTACTGTACCTGTTATCTCCAATTCTGTCCAGATGCTTTTCTTCCCAGTGGCAGCTTCTTCGTGAGACATGATAACGTGGTTTCGCCTTGGATTAGTGTTTTCATACTTTTCTTTGACACTACGAGACATTCTAAACACTGCAACCATAAAAAATCATTAATACTGGAACTAAGAGTAGAGTAAGATATATATATATGGTTTTTTGGATTATTTTCAACATTGTTATGGTTTAAAATGGATCAAATTTGCAGCAATTCATGTGTAGGCTACGATTCCTTGTTGTAAAAGTTGGCGTGCATGCTATAATTTCTTTATTCATAATAAATTGTAATATCGGCAAATTTCAATTGAAAATAAATTTCAAAAAGCTTTAAGAAAAAAAAACAGAATATTTCACTGACAAGTACGGTAGCTCTGCCAACGGGATTAACTCCAGTCATACACCTATAAGCCTACTTAAGTTGGTACCGGTACCAACATTGGCTTAGGAAAATAATTCAATAATTGTGGAGGGAGATTTAAGAACACATTTCAAACACCAGTTTAGTTACCTAGCAAATTTATAGGAGCAATATAGATTGTTTGTTTACAAGAATTAATTACAAGATGTGTGCAGATATTAGGTAGGCCTAAGTGCCAGTTGCTGACCTGACAGCCAAAATCATTAAGGTTTTGTTAACCTAGAGAGGTTAGGTTAGGTAGCATAATGTTATCGTTATTTTACCACGTCTAAATAGCCTAATACTAAAATTACCATATTAAGTGAGGGATTATCATTGCACTGTGCTATAGTTCGGCCGCTTAGAAAACGACCTGCGCGCTAATGCTAAACCAATGCTGGAGGAGGTCGCTTTCTAAGCGGCCGAACTATAACTGCAGTCTCACTGTCAATGACCTGTATTTGCCAAGTTGAGGAGAATTTGACGACAGTTGCCGTGTGACTTACGACCGTGGGAATGGCGGGAATCAAAACTCTAATCAGGGTGTACTTAGATAACTAACCTAACATCACTACTGCAGCGCACAATTATAAATAATAGGTAGGTACTCTGTATGACAAAAAGCACCAAAAAGTTATGAAAGACATTCCAAAGCGAGATTGTATTTTAAAAAACTCCATTTTTAAACTCGGGCTCAATTAACAGATACCTAGCACTGATATGACTATCCAATAATTTTGAACATAGTTTACCTTAAAGTGTTTATTTATTTATTTATTTATTTCCCAACGGTTTACACCAGTTTACAAGAATGTATACAATATTAAAAGATGGCAAAATACATGCAACAGTGAGTGGTAACAGCAAGAACATAATTAATGAACAAAAATTAACAAGTAACAAGTAACAAGTAATAGATACTATATAATAACAATCTTGAATAACAATAACAATAGCAATAACAAAAATAACAAAATAGACAAGGAAAGACGATAAGTTAACAATATAAATTAGAAGCAGTGAAGATAGTTTTGGATAATAGTACAATGTGGCAAAAAATTTGATTTTACAAAAAAAAAAACATGACATGAGAGGTGATACTTGGCAGCAACAACAGGAACGATTAATTCGACTAGAGCTAAGGAAGGTGAGATTCTACAGTTAGTGACTAGAATTATTATCACATAAGCAGGGAGGCGACCTTTCTCCGGAACGAGGACAATGAGTCGTGGAAGAAGTCCAGGTGGATTGCGACATCACTCCCAGTACGTAGAAGTCTCGAAAGGCCGCTGTTAGCTGCATAGTAGGTGGGTTGGTAGCGTCTACGGAATATCGTTTTGGAACGGGTTCCTGTTGGTATATGCAAGTGGATGCCGCAGAGTAGATCCGGACAGTCCAGGAGCCCATTAACCAACTTGAAAAGTGTCAGTAGGTCCGAGTGTTGCCGCCTCACGTGAAGAGGGGTGAGTCCAAAAAGAGATTCGACCTCACTCACAGGAGTACGTAGGTAGTCAAACCCAAGCCTACATCCAAGAAGTCTGACGAAGCGGCGCTGGATGCTTTCCAACTGGTTAATGTGGTTCAGTTGATGAGGGGACCAAATTGTGGAACCATACTCAAGTATTGGACGAACAAGGGCTTTATATAAGGTCACGAGAGTAAGGGGAGAGTTGAAACCCTTTGTTGATCTTAGGATGAATCCAATCATGGAGTTTGCTCTTGCAGTGATGTGCGTAATGTGCTCCATTGGATTTAGAGATGGTGTCATAATAACTCCCAGATCTTTAACTTTGGAAACCCTCTTCAGAACTGATTCATTGAGTGTGTAGTCGTGTATTAAGAAGTCCGAACCCCGTTTGAATGAGATAACTACACATTTGTCGACATTCAACTGCATAGCGTTATTTTTGCACCAGTCTTCAATGTTGTTGAGAGAGTTTTGGAGATAAATTTTGTCACGGTCACTTGATATCCTACTAAAGACCTTCATGTCATCTGCAAACATGAGAAATTTTGAACCTATTACAAACTTGATGTCATTTATGAATAGGCTAAAGAGTAACGGGCCAAGGTGGGACCCTTGAGGAACACCAGACAATACTTTGAATGGGCGTGATGAACTGCCATCGCACTTAACAATAAGATGTCTTCCTTTTAGGTAACTATCGATCCATTTAAGCAGGGAGCCACAAACACCATAGCCATCAAGCTTAGCTATCAGAAGGCGATGATTGACCTTGTCAAATGCCTTTGACAGGTCAAGATAAATGCAGTCTACTTGGCAGGAGTCAACGAAGGCACCCATGATAACATCTTGAAATTCAAGTAGGTTGGAGATGGTGGATCGGGAGCGAAGGAAGCCATGTTGCTCAGGAGAAATGCATTTACGCAAATTAAAGTAAAGAAAATCCAGTACTATGCTCTCGAAGACCTTCGCTATTGCAGACAAAATTACAATGGGTCTGTAGTTTTTGGCATCATTCCGATCGCCTGTCTTGAAAATGGGGACGACATATCCAATTTTAAGGCTGTCAGGAAATACTCCGGTACTCAGCAGAGCCTTGAAAAGTATAAACAAGTGGGGTGCAAGAATAGGTGCACAGTGTTTAAGTATAAGAGGAGGAATATTGTCTGGACCAGCTCCTTTGTTTGGATCGAGATTTTCAAGCTTACGCTGTACATCCATTGGAGAAAACAAACACTGGGAGATGCAGAAGTTCCAACCAAAGTCAAAGGAGGGGACAGCAGGAGACGCATCACTGAAGACAGATGAGAAGTGGTTTGCAAATAGCTCACATGTGTCCTCCGCAGACTTGGCCACTCTAGAGCCAAGGGCCATATTTGATGGAATTGTTGGGCTGCGTTTAAGACTGCCAACATGTGACCAGAAGGATTTTATGTTCCTTGGAATATCGTCTTCAACCTTTCTCGTGTAATCAGTGTAACATTTCCCGGCCATGTCTTTACATCTTCTCCTCAACTCTCTGAACACTTCAAAGTGATTAATGCTGAGAGATGATTTATATAGCTTGTGGGCAATTTTCTTCTTTATCACGAGTTGTTTGAGATCATTAGAGAACCACTTAGGAAAAACTGCAGAAGATACCCTTTTCACTGGAGTGTTAGCACTGACGATTTCGTTGATGTTGCGACAGAACTCATCAAATGCGGGAACCACAGCCGAAGAGGGATCCAACAGGGGAAGATTCAGCGTTTGCAGTCTGTGGAAAACAGCATCAATGTTGCATTTGCGGTAATCACGCAGAAATCTTACTTTTTTTGATAGAATAGTGGTGTGAAGTTTAAGCTGTACGGATAAACAAGGATGGTGTATGTCTTCAAGCAATAATGCCTCTTCCGCTGCAATAACTTCACTGGATGAGATGGAAGTAAATACTAGGTCAAGTATAGCTCCCCGATAGTTTGTAACAGAGTTAATTTGCTTTAGAGAGTGTAGGGTAGCCATACTGGTTAAGCAGCGAGACGACTCGGAACCAGTCAAGACGTTCGGGTCAGTAGCATTTACAGCTTCAGGAAGATTGAAGTCTCCTAACAAAATAATCTTTTCGTGTAGTCCAGACCAAATGATAGCCTCATCAACGACATTGCAGAAGTCCGAGTAGACGGAGACGGGTTGACTTGGTGGAATGTAAACACATCCAACGAGGAAACTACTGGCCGAAGATGAACAGGAAACGAATAGACATTCTAAGGCACATTCAGGATTAGGTAGAATATTTACACTTGAAATTGAGTTTCTCACTGCAATCAAAACACCACCACCACTTAATTTTGAACTTGTGGACCTAGATCTGTCGCTTCTGTAGATATGATAGCCATGAAGTCCCAGTTCAGAGTTGCTGATATCATTAGTTAAGTTTGTCTCCACTAGGGCTATTATATCGTAGGGGGACGTTGAAACGTTTATAGAGAGCTCAGTCATCTTTGATCTAAGTCCATTGACATTCTGAAAATATACATTTAGATTTAATGGTGCTCCGTTGGGATTTGAGAGTTTTTTGGAGGCTTAGGGTTGTTTGTTATTTGAGGAACATTATTAATGTATCTGATTGTAAGTCCCGTTTCACCACGTGCCTTACGTTCGTCTAACTCAGAATTCAGGGACTTAAGGTGATTTAACTCACGGGGAGTCCTGTCTCTTGACAGTTTTACTGATGCAAAGACCGGGTCGATTTGGGCTGCAGATTCTGGGGAGAAATTACCAATGACTTTAGACACGTCAAAGGAGTTAGACATAATAACCTTGAGAGGTCTTGGTTTAACCTGTAGCTTTTTCCCAACTCGAAACAGCTTGATGTCTCCGGGTGTAAAGTCGGTGAGTATGTTTGATAGGAGTTTGTTGGTGAGATCGAAGTCGTGACCCTTCTTCACATCTACATTTTTATCGCCAGACTCTACCAAATTGAAAATCATAAGGTTCCTAGAGCGCCGAGCACGCTCATTCATCTCCGCTATTGCCACTTCGACTGTATTGGAACTATCGCTGGACTTGACAGCATCAATCTTCTGCTCAACAGTTGTGATTCTAGATTCCACATTTTCAACACGGGGTTCGAGGGCTAAAAGGCCAGCTCGTATACCTGATACTTCAGTTTTTATATCAACAATATCCCTTGAGATTTCTTCAATTTTATTCACTTTACCCAATAGGGCATCTAATTTTGACAGTACAACAGTCATTTGGGAGGAGAGTTGTTCATGGGGAAGACTCTTGGAATCGATGCAGTCAGTTCTAGAACAAGACCACGGTTCCTTGCTGTTACCACTAATTCGCTGATACTCCGACTTTGTCATGCCCAGGCAGCCTCTGTGGAACCATCGCTGACATTTTCCTTCACATCCCACACCTTCTTCGGAGTCTAGGACAGTCTTGACACAAATAGGGCAAGTGGTGGTCATATTGAACATTACTCTCGATATAAGAGTTTAATATGCTTGATTTTGTTACGATGCCAGTAGAGCGATGGTACCAGTAGCTACTCAATTCACCACTGGTAGCCACCCGCAAAATTTTCTCATCGGTAATAATGTTAAATAGGCAGAGTTTTTGCGTATAGTGATAATGGATATAATCAACGATGAAATACAGAAGGCTGTGGATAAATTTATGTCAAAGTTTCGTCTGCCTGGTTCAATTCCACTGTTCCAAGATAGTGTTATTGAATTGAGGTTAGGCTACAACTTGATGTGGTGATTGGCAAATAGGGCTGGGAAATTAATGGGTTACGAGACGTAGTTAGCTCGGAAAAATTGTCGGTTATTACTTTGGTACACAGATCTTACTTCAAAATTTTGTTCCTGAAAATCCGGGTGCGAGTTGATAGCTAAGTTCGGTAAATAAGCTATTTATGTTCTAAGGCTGCTCAGACTAGAACATTACAAGTGGGGATTTACCCCACGTGTTAACAGGCTACAAAGAAATATAATAATAATTATTATAATTATTATTCATTATCATTATCATAGCAGATAAAGTACGTAGCTCATGTACGCTAATATACAGTAATATGGGCTAACCAAACCACTTCATAAAATAATTTCATAAATCAAAAATAGTTTATGAACTGTATAGTCAGTACTTTAACAGTGAACGATATCGCATTGTTAGCCTACCTTTAGAAACAGACAATGTAATATTAAAAGAGAATTGAGAACGGCAACAAATTGTTAAGTTAGAGGTTAGCCTAAAAAGTTTATATTTACCTATATAAGCTACAGACCTACAGACCTACTTACATTTTGTTGAAGACCCTTTATTGATTCTTCGTCCTTTTTTGTACATATTTGTAATTTTTTCAACCTACGGTACTAAATTTTTAATCTATTTATCTGACTATCTTGATACCTAGTCAAATTTACTTTAGGAAGTAAACAATTCAAGAAGTTGCAACCACTAAATGATATATTTAAAAACCAAAAGAGCATTTGATTTCATACACTTTAAAATCTTTATAAGTGGACGAGAAATTACTTTAAGCTTAGTATGAGATTTATTTTTATTCATAGATTATTACAATGTTTGATAACAATCAACTTTATCTACTTAATGTCAAAAGTTGAAGTAAACAGATGTTTGCTTAAAATAACTAATGTTCTTATCTGCCTAACCTATGGGCCGTTTGTTACAATCATTATCACTACTAATACACAAGCCATAGTAGGCTATATATACAACTTTTTTGACTAGAATTTTACTATTAATAAGTCAAGTAAAAAAATTAAATTATTATTTGGTTACAATATCTATTTGTAGAAACAAACTTGCAGGCCAGGCCTACACAAATTGAATTCTATTTTACTGGGTGTTTTATAGCTGTCACAAATTAAATGGGAAATCACTCGAAGATCTATTTTTAATGCAAATAGGGTTAGTTACAATGAATACGGTTATTATCTTTGCTTGTATGAGGAAAACAAAAAGCTTTTGTTTTATTATTCCACAATCTTTAAAGGCTCTAATATAGGAAATTTTTGAAACTGTACAGTGTAAATTATCATGATCAAATACAACAAATAGAAAATTTCCCATACATTGGGAATAAGCTATTGGGCCTACCATAGGTCTCGTGGTAAGACCTAGACAATGATCAGACCATGGGAACGAGGTTTTATGAGGTCTTTAATATGTCAGGGAAGGTTCCTGCTTCAAAAGAACTGTTGACCACGTTAGTTAGGGGCTTTGCTATTATATGTCCAATTTCTTTAATTATATTGGGAGAAATTTCATCTGTTTTTTAGAGGAAAAACTAATCTCTTACTGGGCTTATGGTGTTTAAGTTGTGGACTCCTTTGGACTTGTTTCCAACGTTCAAGAAAAATGTATTAAACATCTCAGCAACAGAGGTGGGATCGCTTACCACTTGACCAATGTCATTGATATTCTTAATCGGTTTCATTTCATTGTCCTTATATTTTTTTTTTTATTGTTTGCCATATTGCTTTAGATTTGTTGTTGGAGCCATTGATTTCTTTTAGTATCTGGGCTGATTTTATCTGTCTAATTTGCCATCTATATTTTTGTTTCATGTGAAACTAGTATTGTCTCATACAATGTGTTGAGGTAAGGTCCTCAACACATTCTTATGGAGATAAGCAAACTGTGGTAGTTTTCTTGTTTATGGATATATAATTAATTATCAATCTTGGTTAGTTTCTTTCTTTTATACTAAGCAATATACATTTAATAAAAAAAATTATGTAGGCCTACCTTCCCTGTAGCAGCAAACCTAAGTTAGGCTACTTGTGAAACCTAATTTTATTTAAGTGGGCAATACATCTGAAATTTTTAAGGAGAATTTTAGGGAAAATACAATCAGGGATATAAAAATTTTGCCTAGTCTACAGGTTAGCTGCAGGGGGTATTTAACTATCCTAAAATGAATAGTGTTTGAAATTTTAGTTAAAATGGTTTGAATGGCCTTCGGTAAAAAAACATATTTTGAATTTCCTTATATTACAGTAAGATAGTTCAATAAACCTTTACTTACACTAACGTAATAAATAACTTCTTGATTGGCATTGTACTATTTTTAGTTATTACAGTGGTTACGGCGAACACCGTTGTAGCGTCTGCTGGTAGCATGCGACGAGGAGTCGACGCCAAAAGCAAAAATCGGATGTACTAAACACGCTTGAGCGACACATGACGGAACCTTCCATTGACATCCTATATTTATTCTATTCATCTACCTATACTTTAAGTAGGGCCTAGGCTATAGAATTTAAATCTAAGTGTCATGATAAAAAATGTTAGAGAGCTAAACATAATTGCTGTCAAGTAACAGATGCAAAACGTTTGGTTTCTCTTTTGGCTGAATCAACTAAACTCAACTTAACTTTGGCCTGTCTGTCTTAATTGAAAAACTATAAGTTAGTGCATCATAGTAAGTTAGGCTTAAGTTAATTTCTATTTTATAAGACAACCTAAGATGTGAGAAAACCTTTTGGGCCCTGTCACATCATGAGTCAATGTACTTAAAGAGTCTTCTTCACCCCTGCGAAAACAATAAAAACATGCCTTGGACGTCCCTCGCTCCGGATGGAATGTGTAAAGATATAATGTTAAAACCTTTTTCTCTTATTAATGTTGGTTCTAGGGCCCTCCCCTCATACATGATATATCCAAGAAAATCAATAGTATAAGTATAAAAAAATCTTAAAGTATGTACGTAAATTGAGTCACTTTTAAACACTAATAAAACTAATTAACTTATTTTTTTCATTTTAAACCTTTTGAGGTAGGCCTAGGCCTATAAGAGCTCTAATTGTTTTATTCAACTACATTGATACCAAATTTTAAGAACATCTGTTGAAAAACGGCCTCCGAAACGGGGGAAGAAATTAACATATTTTGTAGGAGGCTACTTCGCTACTAGCCTTTTACAAAACTTGGCTCAGGCGGTAGATGAATCACCGACGTGTCTATTTAGTAGTTGTGTGTTTACGATGTTTTCATGATGTCGCGCATAATGACCCCGCGCTACCCTCCCGTCTACAACACCTTCCCCCCAAGGCCATATCTCCAAAACGCAGGGTGATGAAGACTCTTAATATGGTGCCATATATATAGTTATATCTTAACTAGTCGTCTATCTGGATACAAACTTACAACTAGGTTTCTAATAAAGAGGGAATAAATTATGGCCCATTTACAGTGTTAATTAAACAAGAAGGTTAAATTAAAATTGAGTTGGAAGCTAAAGATAGCCTAGAGAGAGCCGAAAGTTTAGTGTGGAAGTTTAAGTCACGATTTTACAGTAAAATACACTTTCCTACAACGTGAAAATTATTATTCAATAGAAAATTAAAAGTATGGGGCCAAAACAAGTGAAAAGGTAGCATTAATTAAGAAAGAATCATTTACCGTACCTTGTCCTTGCCACAGTCATAGGCCTACTAACTTATTGTCATGACTGGCCTACCACAATAGACCCTAATCTGCAGTTGTGGGCTAGGAAATCTCAAAGCTTACTTAGGCCAATATGGACGATTGTCTTTGTGATAAAAGAAAGAAAAGAAGTCAATTTTAATTCAGTTACAAAACACATAAGGCCCATTTCCTCATATTTCATTCACTTGGAAATGTAGTGAGGTTATGTTATTGTTAAAAGAATCTAGCACTCAATAAATGAATTAGCTGATAGACTCTAAGTCTTTAAGAAAAGCCAGGAAAATAAATTAATCCAGAAGATGAAATGTAATGAAATTTCAAAGTGGTTGAGAATATTATCTGAACAAATTTTACAGTTGAACAATAAATGAAAGGGATTAATTGGGGCGATTTTTTTGGACAAGATGCTTTGCTATTTGTCAATACAGAGTCGGCTGCGCTTAAGAAACATTCATAACTGTGTATAAATGCTTTAACAAAGAACTAAAAATACTATTTTAATGTAAAATTACTTACAACCATCTACTTAAACCACGATCCACCAAATATACACAATTTATAGCAGAAATTCGCACAATTCTCAATCCTAGTAAACAAAACAATCTCGACGAACACAAATTCCACGGGCTACTAAAACTAAACACTCTCTACTCCATAGCCTAATCCCGAGTTGGTGCATCTCTCCTGCACAAAGACAAATAATAACGACATCGATTGATGTATTTGACCGCTGGTTATATTAGTTTAATTTTGAACAGATAATTGATTTTTTAAAGCCATTCATTAGTAAATAAATAGTAATGAACAGTACAATATTAAACAGTAATAATACTAATAATTATAGTCCTCGCCACCCTAACTTGAGGCAGCCCAAGGCCGCACGCCGTGTATCTAGTGTGGCCTTGTGCTGCCTCAAGTTAGGGTGGCGAGGACTATAATAGTACAATCGTAATTATACATAAGTATAATTATAATAACACATAAGTAATTACAATAGTTAAATCTTTCTCCAGCTCAACAAGTCCAGTTGGATCTCTGTAGATTTATTGTTCAACTGTAAAATTTGTTCAGATAATATTCTCAACCACTTTGAAATTTCATTACATTTCATCTTCTGGATTAATTTATTTTCCTGGCTTTTCTTAAAGACTTAGAGTCTATCAGCTAATTCATTTATTGAGTGCTAGATTCTTTTAACAATAACATAACCTCACTACATTTCCAAGTGAATGAAATATGAGGAAATGGGCCTTATGTGTTTTGTAACTGAATTAAAATTGACTTCTTTTCTTTCTTTTATCACAAAGACAATCGTCCATATTGGCCTAAGTAAGCTTTGAGATTTCCTAGCCCACAACTGCAGATTAGGGTCTATTGTGGTAGGCCAGTCATGACAATAAGTTAGTAGGCCTATGACTGTGGCAAGGACAAGGTACGGTAAATGATTCTTTCTTAATTAATGCTACCTTTTCACTTGTTTTGGCCCCATACTTTTAATTTTCTATTGAATAATAATTTTCACGTTGTAGGAAAGTGTATTTTACTGTAAAATCGTGACTTAAACTTCCACACTAAACTTTCGGCTCTCTCTAGGCTATCTTTAGCTTCCAACTCAATTTTAATTTAACCTTCTTGTTTAATTAACACTGTAAATGGGCCATAATTTATTCCCTCTTTATTAGAAACCTAGTTGTAAGTTTGTATCCAGATAGACGACTAGTTAAGATATAACTATATATATGGCACCATATTAAGAGTCTTCATCACCCTGCGTTTTGGAGATATGGCCTTGGGGGGAAGGTGTTGTAGACGGGAGGGTAGCGCGGGGTCATTATGCGCGACATCATGAAAACATCGTAAACACACAACTACTAAATAGACACGTCGGTGATTCATCTACCGCCTGAGCCAAGTTTTGTAAAAGGCTAGTAGCGAAGTAGCCTCCTACAAAATATGTTAATTTCTTCCCCCGTTTCGGAGGCCGTTTTTCAACAGATGTTCTTAAAATTTGGTATCAATGTAGTTGAATAAAACAATTAGAGCTCTTATAGGCCTAGGCCTACCTCAAAAGGTTTAAAATGAAAAAAATAAGTTAATTAGTTTTATTAGTGTTTAAAAGTGACTCAATTTACGTACATACTTTAAGATTTTTTTATACTTATACTATTGATTTTCTTGGATATATCATGTATGAGGGGAGGGCCCTAGAACCAACATTAATAAGAGAAAAAGGTTTTAACATTATATCTTTACACATTCCATCCGGAGCGAGGGACGTCCAAGGCATGTTTTTATTGTTTTCGCAGGGGTGAAGAAGACTCTTTAAGTACATTGACTCATGATGTGACAGGGCCCAAAAGGTTTTCTCACATCTTAGGTTGTCTTATAAAATAGAAATTAACTTAAGCCTAACTTACTATGATGCACTAACTTATAGTTTTTCAATTAAGACAGACAGGCCAAAGTTAAGTTGAGTTTAGTTGATTCAGCCAAAAGAGAAACCAAACGTTTTGCATCTGTTACTTGACAGCAATTATGTTTAGCTCTCTAACATTTTTTATCATGACACTTAGATTTAAATTCTATAGCCTAGGCCCTACTTAAAGTATAGGTAGATGAATAGAATAAATATAGGATGTCAATGGAAGGTTCCGTCATGTGTCGCTCAAGCGTGTTTAGTACATCCGATTTTTGCTTTTGGCGTCGACTCCTCGTCGCATGCTACCAGCAGACGCTACAACGGTGTTCGCCGTAACCACTGTAATAACTAAAAATAGTACAATGCCAATCAAGAAGTTATTTATTACGTTAGTGTAAGTAAAGGTTTATTGAACTATCTTACTGTAATATAAGGAAATTCAAAATATGTTTTTTTACCGAAGGCCATTCAAACCATTTTAACTAAAATTTCAAACACTATTCATTTTAGGATAGTTAAATACCCCCTGCAGCTAACCTGTAGACTAGGCAAAATTTTTATATCCCTGATTGTATTTTCCCTAAAATTCTCCTTAAAAATTTCAGATGTATTGCCCACTTAAATAAAATTAGGTTTCACAAGTAGCCTAACTTAGGTTTGCTGCTACAGGGAAGGTAGGCCTACATAATTTTTTTTATTAAATGTATATTGCTTAGTATAAAAGAAAGAAACTAACCAAGATTGATAATTAATTATATATCCATAAACAAGAAAACTACCACAGTTTGCTTATCTCCATAAGAATGTGTTGAGGACCTTACCTCAACACATTGTATGAGACAATACTAGTTTCACATGAAACAAAAATATAGATGGCAAATTAGACAGATAAAATCAGCCCAGATACTAAAAGAAATCAATGGCTCCAACAACAAATCTAAAGCAATATGGCAAACAATAAAAAAAAAATATAAGGACAATGAAATGAAACCGATTAAGAATATCAATGACATTGGTCAAGTGGTAAGCGATCCCACCTCTGTTGCTGAGATGTTTAATACATTTTTCTTGAACGTTGGAAACAAGTCCAAAGGAGTCCACAACTTAAACACCATAAGCCCAGTAAGAGATTAGTTTTTCCTCTAAAAAACAGATGAAATTTCTCCCAATATAATTAAAGAAATTGGACATATAATAGCAAAGCCCCTAACTAACGTGGTCAACAGTTCTTTTGAAGCAGGAACCTTCCCTGACATATTAAAGACCTCATAAAACCTCGTTCCCATGGTCTGATCATTGTCTAGGTCTTACCACGAGACCTATGGTAGGCCCAATAGCTTATTCCCAATGTATGGGAAATTTTCTATTTGTTGTATTTGATCATGATAATTTACACTGTACAGTTTCAAAAATTTCCTATATTAGAGCCTTTAAAGATTGTGGAATAATAAAACAAAAGCTTTTTGTTTTCCTCATACAAGCAAAGATAATAACCGTATTCATTGTAACTAACCCTATTTGCATTAAAAATAGATCTTCGAGTGATTTCCCATTTAATTTGTGACAGCTATAAAACACCCAGTAAAATAGAATTCAATTTGTGTAGGCCTGGCCTGCAAGTTTGTTTCTACAAATAGATATTGTAACCAAATAATAATTTCATTTTTTTACTTGACTTATTAATAGTAAAATTCTAGTCAAAAAAGTTGTATATATAGCCTACTATGGCTTGTGTATTAGTAGTGATAATGATTGTAACAAACGGCCCATAGGTTAGGCAGATAAGAAATCACAACGCTTTGGAGTTTTTTTATCAACTGTGACTATTTATTTTTTTATTTTTAGATAGCCTAGGTATAAAAAAAAATTACTCTCGGCCGTGCGCCCTCTGGGACCTTGCGCCCATAGGCCCGGGCCTACCGGGCCTATTGGGAAATCCGGCCCTGTGTTAATCACCTCAGACAGAGGCAGCGATATTTCATTAAGAGCCTTATTATCCGCGGCCACTCGAGTAAAGAAAAGTGTTTATTTTTAAAATTAATGATTGTGAAGAATTTCGTGTGCAATATTTATGATATCCACTTTGGAATTGGACCAATAATATGTGCAATTAGCATAATATTCACGCCCATTTTCAGAGTGTAAAAGATTCATTTTTTCCGTCAAAGTGCTTAAAATGACGACTTTGCAAGTACATAATTTTACAAAAATTTCCAGGGGAAGGACCCCCGTACCCCCTTTCTGCTGGCGGAGAGCCCCCGGTGAGCGCAGATAAACAAGGCCTCGCAATTATGTATTGCCCCAGGCCTCGCATTTTATAAAGACGGCTCTGTGCGCGACTAGTGGTGGGGGTGCGCGACTGGAGTGGCCAGTCGCGGGCCGCGGTGACTGTCACACGGGGGCGGTCGTGGATTGTCGCTTGCCTCGCCACCGCAGTTGCGTCGCTTTATAAGCTCGATAATGATTAATGATAACATGGCCCGCTAAAAAGTTGCCTTTGAGCAAGTCGCGGTCGTGAGCCGCTCAAGTGGCCACCCATAATAAGGCTCTAACTAAGACTTGAGGATCCAAACTGCATTCCACAGATTGCGGGTAATTTCTTTTTTTGGTTGTGTTGCTAGCCTAGTGGTTAGCGTCTCGGACTTCGGTGCGGGAGAGACGGGTTCCATCCCCGGCACATTCACAAACATTTATTCTCTCGTGACTCTCTTGTGAAATGCCACTGGCATTGGAAAAACAGAAATCAGAAATCAGAAACTTTTTATTGCCGTAATTTGCAAGGTACATGCATATGACAAAGTCAACAACAAATGAGGTTCAAGTTCAACCAAGAAAATAAAACTAGATCCGGTAAAACATGAATAGACAAAACATTTGTCTGGGCAGTCATAATAGATCAAAAAATAAAAATGTAGCTATGCAAGCATCGAGCCTATCAGAAACAAGACAGTAAAAGGTCAACAATTGTTCATACAGATCATATGGTCATACTCAACATGCAAATAAAATAAGAGAATTACAGGCATTGAGTAATTGTTGGCATGTCAAAATAACATGCTACTAAAATCCTCCTGAAAATAACTCTCTAGGCTATAAAAGGGCCTTTGAGCAAGCCACTCATGCAAAACATGCTTAAACCTACTCATGCTAACATTACGTGCTGTGCTAGGAAGTTTATTAAACATTGATATTCCTACATTACTAAACCACTTTTTTGATTTGGATAGTCTCACAAAAGGTAAATCTAGCAGATTACTGTTTCTGGTCACATGCAAGTGCACCGAGCTTCTACACGTGTAACTCTCTAGTTTTGTTTTAACTCGTACCAAGCAGACAAATATATACATATTTACAATAGTCAGTATTTGTTCAGACTGAAACAGAGGCCTGCAATGTGCATCCAAGGGCGCACCACTTACGCGTACCACTCCTAACGGCCTTTTTCTGTAGCACAAGAAGTTTTTTGACATCTGCTCCATTTCCCCACAATAACAGACCATAACTCAAGATGCCATTAAAAAAAGCATAATAAGATATCTTCAGATATGGCTTAGGTACAAGATTTCTAAGTTTTCTTAACAGATTAATTACCCTGTTGAGCCTAACACACAGGGATTCAATATGGGAAGACCAAGAGAGAGAAGAATCAAGCCAGATTCCCAGAAGTTTGACATTTTTTTCCACATCTAAAAGCTCAAGATCAGGTTTACCAAGAGTGAATAAAATATTCTGAGTTTTAGAGTCATTCAAAAGCAACCCATTTGTTTCAAACCAAGAGTTAGCATCATTTAGAGCATTATTCATTAACAATATAAGACTATTTACATTCGAACCACTACAAAAAAAGGTTGTATCATCTGCAAAGACAACTGAGTTTACATCTATGTTTGAAGAGAGATCATTTACATGTACAAGGAACAAGAATGGGCCCAGTACCGAACCCTGCGGTACTCCACTTTTGATCAGAGCTACGTCAGAGAGGGCATTATTGAACAAAACTCTCTGCGAGCGATTTTCTAAGTAAGATTGAAATAGGCTAAGCTCCACACCAACAATGCCATAATGCCTTAATTTCGTGAGGAGTATCTCATGCGGAACGCAATCGAAAGCCTTGGTAAGGTCACATAAAGTTGTTAAAGTGTGTGAGTGGTTTTCAAAACCATCTACAACCTTCTGTACAAGGCTCTCGACTGCATCCACAGTAGACAGCCCTCTCCGAAAACCAAACTGAAATTTGGAAAACAAAAAATTTGTCTAAAAAAAATCGTTTACCTGGTGTTTCATTGCTGATTCAACGATTTTGGAAAAACAAGGCACCACAGAGATCGGCCGGTAGCTTCCTGGAGAACTTGTGTCACCTTTCTTGTAGATTGGTACAGTTTTTGAGGATTTCAGGCACAAGGGGTAGACACCACTAGTGAAGCAATCATTTATGCAATGTGTAAGTGGTGCCACTATACAGTGGGCCACTTCCTTTACAAAATCACTATTGATACCATATATGTCTTTGGAATTTCCACTTTTCATGTTTAGTATCAACTTTGCGACATCATCACAGCTCACTGGCTTCCATCTGAAGGTGACCTCGGGTACAGCAAAATTGTTGAGCAGGTAAGTAGAAGCAGGTTGATTGAGATTGACAGTTTTCTGAACATCCGCCACAGATGAGATGAAGTAATGGTTGAATTCATCCGCAGTTATGGGTACAACGCCCGCCTTGCTGGAGCTAATCCTGGCTGAATTTATAACGGACCAGGCTGTCTTACATTTGTTGGAGGACGATTCGATAAACTTGGCGTTAAAGTGAAGTTTAGCATCTTTAATGGCTGCTTTATAGTCCTTCCTAGCATCCATGTAGGTCTGCTTGAAGAATCCCACATTGATGTTGTACTTGGACGCCCATAATAAATTATGGTAACATGTTAAAGTTTCTTCACGAAGCTGACGGAGGTCATTTGTGAACCAAGCATTTCCAGTTCCACGGCGCTTTACATGAGGATTTTTCTTTACCGGTTTGATGGGAATACATAAATCTAGTTTTTCACGGAACTTTTCCATGAATAACTCAAAAGACCTACCATTAGATACGTTATTAAGAAACGACCAGTCAATTGCAGACACGTGTTTAACAAAGTTAGCAACATTTGCTTTGTTAAATAGTCTTGAGTCAATTTTTGAGTGTAGGCCTAATTCTTTATCAGTGCCTGCTTGGGTAAACATGACCTCCACAATCAAACCAGCATGGTCAGAGAGAGGAGGCAGGGAAACATTAACATGAATATTGTCTCTAGGGAGGTTAGTGATCACATTGTCCAGACATTTTAACCCTCTAGTAGGTTCCTTGTTAATATAGAGGCAATCTACTGACCTGAGCAGGTTATCCAAATATTTTTGTGGTATACCTTCCACCAATACATCAATGTTTATGTCACCACAGATCACAATAGGTAGATTATACTTTGACAGGGATACAATTATATTTTCCAAGGACTCAAGAAATATATTGAGGTTTCCATCTGGAACTCTATAAACAGACATAACAATGAACTTAAAGTTATCATAGGTCACAATAGCAGCAACAACCTCGAAATCCCTTTCTTTGGAAAAATTGTTGACGCTAAGCACTTTATAGTCACAATCATTACTAACATAGATTGCCACGCCACCTTTGGTGATAATAGACCTACAATAAGTAGTAGCTACTTGGCGGAGTATAGCGCCAGCGACGCATTCAACTCAATCCTCGCCAACATCGCTGCCTTTTTTTCTGGGAGACAGAACTCAAAGGCCGCTAACTTAATTGTAATCATGTCAAATTTGGACAGTCAGTCAATTAAAGCAGGTTTTTTCCTATTGCAGTAGCCCATGTAGTTATTTTTGGACTCTCCAGTAAAAAATCTCTCTAAAATAATTGGCCTCCGGATAATACCAAAGTAGGCCTACCCTAACATTTCGCTTTGGCTTAGTTCAAGTTACCGGTACGTTAGTTTTAGATAATTACAAACAAGGCCTACTGTAAGTAAATTGTATACACACAAGAGTTGATAAGTATGCTATATCTAGTAATTGTTTTTAAACAAATAAATTTACACTTGGACCTCAATTTGTAATCGTATCCTTTTTTGTAAGTTTTGTTAGCTACTTAACCTAAGTTAAGTTAATTTTAAAGATACAGCACACTGTTATAGATTGGTGGGCGATAATATTGACTAAGTTATATATACCTACTACATACAAGTTACCTAGGTAGGGCCTAACTTATATATTATAGTCAATGGCGATAATCTACTTGAGAATCCTCATAAGTTAACATCAAATCAATATTGAAATTCAATAACTTATAGGCCTACATAACTTAAATAGGCTATTGATTAAACTTACTATATTTTAGAGATGGGAATTACCGTTACTTTTGAGAAACGCGTTACACCGTTCCATTACAACTTGGTAACAGGTTACAGTAACCTGTTAATTTTGTAACCTGTTACCGGTCCGTTCCTCCCCCACCACACCGTGACATCCAGGTGACATCCCAGCCCCAGCTCGGCGGGCATGTAAAGCCCCCTGCAGACGGGGACAGTAGTGGCGTCCAGTACTGGCGTCCACAAGTGGCGGCCACTGTACTGTCAAGACAGTAGCCCTACACACGGGGACAGTACTGGATGCCACAAAAACTGTTTTAGTGGCGGCCAGTGTGACACCACAGTGTTTTTGTTCAGTATCAAAATGGATGAATTTGACTTGGAATACGAAAATGCAGTGGATGAAGTTGTTGAAGAAGTTGTCGGTGAAGTAATTAATGTTTTGAGTGAAGAATTGGAAGATATAGTAAATACCCCCGCCACTGCAAAACTGCAGACTAAGCAAATTTTATATTATCCTGATTTGATTTACACTAAAATGCCTCCTTAAAAATATCACATTACCCTATAGAATTAGTTTAACGAGTACTTAGGTTTGCTGCAACAGGGAGGGTAAAAAAGTGTTTTTTGTTGTAAAATGTTAATAGTTTAGTGAGAAATGAATGTATTTTCCAAATTCAATCAAAATATGTTCATAAACAAGCAAACTACAACAGTTGAATTATTCTCCATAAAAACAACATGGGAATTTTTAATTTTCAATTTTTTTTTGAATTTTCTTCGTAACCATTAGGCACACAATAGCGCTTCAATATGCTTAATTATTTATTTTTTAAGCTATACAAAATGGTTTGGAAAGAAATTGTGAAATTTTTGTTTTTAGGGTCAAAAATGGGAAAACCCTATTTTTACCCCATAAAACACCCCCCATAAACCCCCGTTCCCATAGTCCGATTTTTAGCCAATGGTGATTCCTATCAATCACTCGCTATTTTTTTCGAGTACCAGCAAACACAATTTCAAGTTTCATGTCTGAATGTGTCCAGCGTCTAAGTTATAGGTTAAAACTTAATAATAGGCCTATATTGTACATTTCGTACGGAAATCACGGACCGACAACAGTTTCCTCAGTGCTCTAATTGCGACTAGAACATTTAAGGTTAGGTAAAAATGGCTGTCAGTAGGTCACGTGACCACGCTACTGTCCTCTGAGCGGCCACTAAACTCAAACTATTTTGTCTTTACTGGCGGCCAGTAGCTACTGGCCGTTGAAGCGTCCAGTACCTCATCACACGTAGACAGTAGGCGGACAATTACTGGCAGCCATTAATGGCTAGGTCTACTGGACGCCACTACTGTCCCCGTCTGCAGGGGGCTTAACGAAATTCTCGCTGGGTGTTATTGCTCTACCCTGTTACTGGCCGTATGTTCGTTCTGGCTCGGCTGGGCTGTAACGTTATTATTCCAGCTTGGCGTTACTCTCTGCGGGTGGTTTATTCGTTCCAGTTTGGCCGTAATGTAACAAAATTCTCACTGGGTGTTATTGCTCTACCATGTTACTGGCCGTGTTCGTTCGTTTCAGCCCGGATATACTGTAACTTAATTCTAGCATGGGTGTTACCTAGCTGGACGTTTCGTTCCAGTTTTTCCATAATTATTGTTGGTGTTAATGTTGCCACACTATGTACAGTTCTCGTGTACGTTAAATTCCGGCTGGAATGGAACGTTTTCTCATATTTTATTATTTTAAAGACTTTTTGTTGCTTTCAGGACTTTGATCCTGACGGAACCGGTACAGGAGATCAATTCATAAGCCAATGAGCGCAGCGTTACAAAAATAGGCCTAACAGGGTATTCTGAGTAACGTGTTATCTTGATAACAGGTTACAATTTATTAACAGTGTTATTTACCCTGTTACGTTAAATAACGCCCATCTCTACTATATTTTAAGTTTATTCGATAGTTTAGGCTATATTATGTAATAAGTTATTCCATCGATAATATCTTAGCTATTCTCTTTGGAATTGTAGATTGATGTTTTAAAATTGATTAACTATAAGCTTTTTAATGTTTTTGCAGGTTCATACCCTAATCAACCGACTCTAAGCCTAGTCAGATTTCAAGTTTGCGTACCTCTAACCAACATTCGTAAAATGCATTGGAGTGTGGTCACAGATCTCTCTATTACGTAATAAATAAATCCAGCGGTGAACAGGTAAGACATTTATTTGTTTAAATTGTTAATTTATAGTAAACAGTAGAACCTCTTTAATCCGAACCCCCGTAATCCGAACGTCCACTAATCCGAACCCCTCATTGCTGTACTCTATACACAGTACAGCAGTTCTTTATTGTATACTGTATTTAATGTACAGTACTGTTTATTCACCATGTTTACTACTGTATTAAATAAACACTGTATTTTATCTATAAAACATTTTTTTTACTTTTCCTAAAATAATTTAGATCAATTTTAGCCATTTTTTAGCTATTGTTATGTAAAAACAACAACATGTTCTGTAATCCGAACTATTCACTAGTCCGAACTACCCCTGGTCCCAATTAGTTCGGATTAAAGAGGTTCTACTGTAGTAACATTTTCTATACAGCCTCTGATCCCATGTAGGGTTGTCATATTAGTGGTGGTTCTAGATTAGAACGTTGTGAAGGGCTAACAGGGGTGATTTAACACTAGGAGGGGGTTTCAGGGGTTCACCTTAGGAAAATCTGCTATTTTTAAAACTGTTTTTACGTCTCGGACTGTGTTCCAAAACTTCTGTCACCTATTTATGACAAAATTTATGTTTAAACTTATATTTCCAGAGTCAGATTCTAATGGGGAGGGCTCTTGCTCCTACAGCCCTCCACCCCTTGGAACCGCCCACTGCATTATAGTATTTTAATGTGGGAAAAAATTGAGAATTAATTTAGTTGGAAGATAAAATATAACGGGACAGCAACATTGGTAGAATAGGCATATAAGCTTTAACCAATTTCATGCAAATATAGGTATTTGATTAAGGTAATGTGATCATAAATAAAAGCATCTGCGGCACTATTTAAAATAAAAATTAGGCTTAAGCCTAATACAGATAAACCATTGCTATTGCTAAAAAAAACCTGCATTAGTCTTGATTTTAAAATAGGTATGGGTTATATTTTTTGTAAACCATAAGCTGTCTTTGTTCATAAAAAAGTGAAGTTGATCTGTTAATTACTGAGAGAACCATGATTTGAGGTAGAAATAAATCTGGTCAAACGGGACATTTTAATTAAATTATGTTAATTTAGAAAACTGCTATCTAACTCGTACTTAAATACAAGTGAATAAAATGTTGTGGATGTTCAATGAATTTTAGCATTAGTTTGTCTGCAAATGTTATTTTCTCGAGAACATGCTCCATTCAACCCAAATAGACACTTTAAAGTTTTAACATTGCAGTCTAGCCGAGGAGAATTGTTCATTCATCCTACACGAGCCTCCTTATTTTAATAACATGTAAACATTCTCTGTTCTAGAAGACTGAAGAAGGAACATCACAGGTGCTGTTACTTAGACCTTTCTACAGCATTGATGAATATTTGTCTTGGCAGCAACTAGAGTGACTACGTTACAAGTTAAATCATCTTTCTACTGCAACTACTCCAATCAATAAAGATTTTTAATCGATAACATATTGTATTGATGCCTTTTTCAATCTTAAAAATTGTAAAATAAAGTACTCTTGTGTTCTTGTATTGCATTCTTGTGTTCTTGTCCTCAATGTAAATAAGTGAACACAAATGATAGAAAAACTATTTTATATAATAATAAAAACTAAATAATTAATTGAGAGCCCTCTCGATTGGGATAACCCTATTGATATTTTACTTCTTTTATCAAAACAAATACTAAAATACTCTCTTATCGTTTTGTGTTAACTATATATAATTTAAATTATTTACAAAAACATCTTAATTATTTATTTTATTTATCTTTTATATATATTCTATTATAAATTACCACACAGTCAAGTACAAAGTTGAAGCTTGATTATAAAGTGCACTAATCATAGTAGGCCTATCGGTCAACAAAACTTAAATTGTTCACACCAAGTGGGAATATAATTATTTGAAATAAGTCTTTCCATCAATAAAATCTTTAAAAAATATTTAATTGCCTTGTAAGCTCGGTAGGTACTGAAAAGTGTAGTATACTCATCACCCATTTCAATGTAAGATTTGTTCTCTTGTTTTAAAATATTTATGTTTGCTGATATAGCGTTATAAGATACAGGGAAGGTAAAGTGTGTTCTCGGTAAAATGTACTTAGATTGGTATTGAATTGTACAAAAAATTAAAATTAAAGTCAAATATCCACAAACAAGCCAAAATAGAACCAACAAGTTTACCTAATAATCTACTTCAAAATAACAAGTTATTTTCATGTTTTTTGATAAATTTTTTT